TAAATATTATTCATGATAGTTTGATATAACTAGCATTCACCTGTTCAATTCTGGTAAATATTATTCATGATAGTTTGATATAACTAGCATTCACCTGTTCAGCTCTGGTAAATATTATTCATGATAGTTTGATATAACTAGCATTCACCTGTTCAGCTCTGGTAAATATTATTCATGATAGTTTGATATAACTAGCATTCACCTGTTCAGCTCTGGTAAATATTATTCATGATAGTTTGATATAACTAGCATTCACCTGTTCAGCTCTGGTAAATATTATTCATGATAGTTTGATACAACTAGCATTCACCTGTTCAGCTCTGGTAAATAATATTACACTCATAATGTTAACAAGATGTTAATTTTTTTTATTTCAGCCTATTGATGATATATTAGGTTATGTGACTTTTTATCTATACTACGTTATCTTGTTGATAGAACTAGTATTGTCATCCATATCAGATAATCCACCGCATTACTCCCCCAGAGTTACTGACTTGGTAAGATATTTTGTGTCATTTCCGATATGCTGAAATTTTTATTGAATGCATAGTGTGACTAAATTAAAATTAGCTGATGGGTTCAACGATCAATAAATACAAATTATTTGTTCAATGGCTTTCATTTTTAAAAGTTAGAATTATTACTGACAGTTAATTCTAATATCTAAAATCTGACGTTGTAGTATATTTTCTTGGAGGAAAGAAACACCACACTTAAAATAAAAGCACTACAGTCAAAGCATTACAGTCACTACAATTTTGTGTAAGCAACCAATATACTTTGCACATGTTGCTTGGGACTCACTCATATTGAATAAGGTGAAGCTGACAACTGTGAAACTTTAGGCGTTTCATCATCATATTAAAATAGCGCCCTCTGCTGGTGAATAGTACTACAGTCAAAGCATTACAGTCACTACAATTTTGTGTAAGCAACCAATATACTTTGCACATGTTGCATGGGACCCACTCATATTGAATATGGTGAAGCTGACAACTGTGAAACTTTAGGCATTTCATCATCATATTAAAATAGCGCCCTCTGCTGATGAGTAGTAATGCATTTGTTAGCTTAAATATGCTTTGTTGTAATAATAAAAATTATTAAATCCATTCACAGAATCCATGTCCATACAGTTCTGCATCATTCTTGTCAAAGGTAACATTCTGGTGGGTTACTCGGTACGTTCATTAAGACTACATGCTATTATTTTGAATTGAAAAGTGTCTCAGTATTCAGGATTGTGTTAAACAATGACATCACTGAGTCAAAGTGGTGTATTGATTTATACCTAATACTGATTCACTATTTTTTTGTTCTATGGCTCATAACGCTGATAAAAAATGTTCAGCATCAACTAGCCAAAAAAAGATACATTTCAACACATTTCAACTCATGTAGCTGTGTGACACATGTCATATCTACATGTATGTAAATTAGTTTTGTGATGTTTTTCATTGTGATTTTGTTTGCAGCATTATAGTCTTAGGCTACAAGAAACCATTGCAACGAGAAGATCTGTGGTCTCTGAACAAGGAGGATGAAACCTCTCATGTCTTTCACAAATTTGAAAAACAATGGAGTAAGGAAAAATGCAGGTAGAGAGTAAATTAATTTTGTTGTCCTTTGATTGAAATGCCTACATGTACTATTTGTCTTACTATTTGACATTTAATAATTGATGGATACCGCCGTCAAATTTTATGTGAATAAAAAAGCAGTGTACATAGGATAGGACTGATGAGTTTGTTAAAGGCCCATGTCAGA